AACATCTCCAAAGTTGGTGGATCGTATGCCTGAAATCCTGGCTCTCGGCGGTGGTGCAATTGAAGTACTACACACACGACACTTGTTGTACATCTCCTCATACTTCTGATAGACAGAGTCAGGAAGTCCTAACATGGAAGTCCTTCGTCTGAATTGAGTAGGAGACATGTGATAGTGTTTGATATGAAGCTTGTAAAGTTCCACACTATCCTCCAGTTTCCTGAGCATCTTTCTGTATGCTGGTGTCATGGCTTGCACTTCACTACCAGGCAGTGGAATCGAAACTCGCCTAGGCTCAAGAGCATCACTACCTAGTTTCTCAACTTGACTTTCTGAATCTTGCTTACCACGGTTGCGCGCAGGTGCAGAATGTTTCGGTTCAATGACTTGAGGTTCATCTGAATCAATTGTGTCCAAACCTAACTCCCTAGCTACCTTATCAAGCTCATCTTCTTCATCAAGCTTGGGATAGGAGACAACAACCTTCTTTCTTGATGAACCTGATTGAGAGTCATCGACAACCTGAGGTTTCTGCTTACCTACGTGTCTTTTGGCTGCAGGTGGACCTACCTCAATCTTTTTCGAGCCTGGTCCATTTGAAATCGGTTTGCCTTCCTCCTTCTTTAAGGAGCTTGGCTTCTTCTGTACACCTGATGGCACTGAAGAGGCTGACTCAGGGTGAAAAAGATCATCAATGTTTCCACGAAAGGGCTTTGCACGATCAATGTCACTTCTGACAATGTCATCTGGGATCACGTAGTCCTCCTTGATCTTGTAGATGGTCTTGCCCTTCCAGAACTCTTCACTCTGTTCAGAAAACCTCTTCTTCTCAGTGCGCCAGTTGTCCTTGTGAAGAACCTTCTTCTTGCTCTTCTGGAATTCCATGTGGGTTTCTCTCTCATCAAGAAGTTGATCTTTTGGAATTGGAGTTTTCTCTGATCGAGTCATCTCATGTAAGTTCATTCTCTTGTCCTTGTGGTGCCTGATGAGTTCACGACGTAGTGGATCAACCTGCCAGTAGTCACCAGTCACCAAAGCTTCTCCTTCATGATCATCTTGTTTGACAGCAATCTGGCTGTACTCAAAGTGATCGTGCTGTGAATAGAAACTTTTGACTTGTGGAGTCTTGAAATGAACTTGGCTCATGTACCATGCTACATCTTGTAGGTCGAGAATGAGATGAGTACTAATGGCTGTCCTCAAAACCATTTTTCTCATGCCAATACGTGCACAGGACAAATAAGCCTTCTCTGGAGTAAGTTCAAATTGAAATCCAAGGTTTCTCATCTGTGGAAGTGACATCAACAATTGGACATCACCTTCTTCGACAATGTCGAATTCTGTAAACTGAGTGTTCCATCCATGATCATACATGAATATCACGAGCTTCTCAGTACATTTTGATTGTTGTGAGTTTGCAAAGAAAAATCTTGAACTTGTTGGCTGAATTTCATACCAGAGTCCACTGTTGGGATGTGAGTCAACATATCTGCAAAATGCTTCAACTGCTCGTCGAGAGCCCATAGCTCTTGTGCATCCAAGATCCAGAATACACACAGTTGGTGGTGCAGAATTCTCTGTGTGAAAAGCTAGTCCATTCTCACATGCCAGATCAGTTTGTACAGTATGAAATGAAAAAGCACTCTGCTGTAATGGTTCCTCTATCTCTGTAGAGCATCCATGTGAAAACAATGATGTGCCTTCTGCCAATGGCTTCCATGAAGCCTCACCTTCTTGAAGACCAACTTGCCTGGGCACTACAGCTGGACGTTGTTGTACACCTTGTCGTAGTGCACCAACTTCTCCAACCAGAACAGGGAATCTCTTCATTTCTCTCCTGTTTTGATGTGCTCTTGCATCACGTTGGTCCTGTCCTCCACGACGAGTACGTCGTTGTTCATCTTGTGCTGCATACGTGGATGTCAAAACATCAACACGTGCTGGCTCTGTCTCTGCAACATCAACACGTGCTGGTTCAGTTGTTCCAAATGAAAAGAAACCATGACCAGAACTTGAAGCTGCAGAAGAATAATGAGCTTGTTGAGTTGGTTGATTCTGTATGGCAGGAGCTGATGTGGTCTGAGGTTGAACATAGTTCGACTTGCCTTTTCCATCTCCTGGCTTTCCTCCTTTTCCATCATCATCCTTGCCTTTCTTGCCTTTCTTTCCTTTTCCTTTTCCTTTTCCTTTCTTCTGGAAGTATCCATACTCATCCATGTAGTACAGATCATCATATGCCCAATAGCCTTCATTCCAGGTTTGATCATCGGCCCAATAGCCGTCATAGGTTTCATTCCATTCATCTTCTTGCCATTCATCTTCATAACCTTCTTCACTCACCATGTGAGCACGGCCTTTTCTTCTTCCTTTACCTCGGCCTTTTCCTTTTCTTGATCTGAAGAACCTTCGTCCTCCTCTGCCTTTTCCTTTTCTCTTTCCTTTACCTTTGCCTCGTCTGATGTATTTGCCTTGGAACCTTCTCTGATACCATGTGAAGTTGGCGTCATCATAAACCCAGAAAACATCTTCTAAGGCATCCAGGAATCCTTCTGCGCCGTCTTCTTCATCTTCGGCCCAATAGCCGTCGGTTCCTTCTAATTCACCTTCATCCAGTTCGAGGAAAGATCTTCTCTGTGCCATGCCAGAGGGTTGCATCAATGGATTGTCAACTGCTGTTTTGGTAGTGCAAAACATTTCCAAAAACAGGTCACGTAGTTCTTGAATGTTGTATCGATCGAGGGGTCGTCCACGATGTGTCATGATACTTGTGAGTGTGTTTCTCTGATCTTGACTCAGGTCAGCTAGACTTACAAAAATCAATGCTAGCAAATTTTCACCCAGTGGGAATGCTTGTCGCTGTGCTTCTCTACGATTTTCCTGAAATTGTCTGAATGCCGCTAGTGCCAGTTCATCTGTCCAAGGAACAGCTACATGGGGTGTTCCTGAGGCTGCTGCTACTTCAGCTCTCTCTTGTTGATCTCGTTCATGTTCTTGACTTCGTTGTTGAACAAACAGGATTGCTTCAGGACTAGTCACTGTTACTTCTGGAAGTAAATCCATCCAAGACTCAATAAGTCTATTGCCAGTGAGTTGAAATCTAGTCATCCACTTCTGAAGATCCATGGTTCCTCTGTTGAACTTCATGAACTGCATGAAACGGTATAAGAACACGTTCTGGGCACCTTTGATGAAATGAGGTCGTAGAAATCTTTTGAAATAAGCCACTCCTTCATAGGGATCCCTGAGTAATTCTCTATCCAATAGCCTCTTGTATTGTTGAGCATCTCCTTCCAGTCTGTTGCGCAATGCTGGACCACGTTTCTCTGGTTCTAACTCCGTAATGTCACACCAGTCATCAATTGCATCCTCAAAAGCAAAGAAGCTGGTTCGCCCATCATAGGCTGGAGCAACCTTTGTGGTCATCTGTTGCGTCATATGAATCTGTGTATGCTGGGGTGCTCTTCTCATTGCATAAGAGTCATATTGGTTCCATTCATTTGCATCGACAATGTCGAAGTCATCATCATCATAGCCATGGCTTGCCATTTCTTGGGCTCTACCTGGAGCTCACCCTCAATGAGGGATCACTGCTCCGCTACCACTTGAAGAGGGGCCCTAGCGTCTACTTCAAGATCAGCTAAGGCGTCTTCCCCAATGACAGCACTCTTTTACTCTCAGCCTGTTGCCGGTCAGTGCTTGTCTACAGGGTTACTCTATATACCTCTTGAGCCTTGAAGGGCGCATATAAATGTGCTCAATACTCATGCATGTACCTATGTAGGTATTAGGTCGAAACAAAAACAAGGGCGCAGCGCCTCCCCCCAAAGCAGAATGCAAGCACCTCTTCTCACATGTTACGTTGCTAGTTTTCAAGAGGAGGTTGGTCATGTGATACTCAGGGATGTAAATACTGTGCAAAATGCATCTTACATGAAAATCAAGTATTTAAAGCAAGCAAAGCAAAAAAAAAGCAGAGAAGCAAAAAAGCAGAGAATCAAAGAAACAGGAAACGCACAAAAGCAAAACAGCAGAAAGGCAAAGAAGCAGGAAAAGCAGAAAAGCAGAGAAGCAGGAAAAGCAGAGAAGCAAAGAAACAGGAAAAGCAGAAAAGCAGAGAAGCAGAAAAGCAGAGAAGCAGAGAAGCAGGAGAAGCAGAAAAGCAAAAAAGCAGAGAAGCAGAAAAGCAGAGAAGCAGGAGAAGCAGAAAAGCAAAAAAGCAGAAAAGGCGAGAAGCAGGAGAAGCAGAAAAGCAAAAAAGCAGAGAAGCAGGAAAAGCAGGAAAAGCAGGAAAAGCAGGAAAAGCAGGAGAAGCAGGAAAAGCAGGAAAAGCAGAGAAGCAGGAATCCAAAAATAATTCCTAAACCTGATCAAAAAAAAATCCTAAAATAATTAGCCCTCCTTTTAACGACCCAACAAAGTTTGCTGGATGAATGCATGTATTTCACTAGAATTTCATGTGAAAATGAGTTTCATAATGTGAAGTTTGTTGTGCGCTGTTGTCAATTCCCAATGTTTGCATTCAAATACATTTCTTCCACGTTTCCCATGGTTTTGTTGGGATTTTATATTTCAACCGTGTAACGAGCAGAAAAACAACCTACTTTGTTCGGACGCATTTGAAATGTATACTTTTCAGCCAACAAAGCTTAGAGTTTCTGCAGAAACAGAGCTGCACCGAGCGCTGGAAGCATTTGACGCTACACCCACTGATGCATAGAAGAAAATTATGTAAGAAAATCAAGGGTGTAGGAACGACTGGTCCAAAACAGGCTCATCGCGCCTCCAACCCTGACACTTAAAATGGGGTTGGAGGCCAACCATATTGAAAACTTGTAGCCAAAATGGCCAACGGTTCATATTCATTTCACTGTCTCTACTTGCTTATCACTCTAGGGAGTTCCCAAACAGTACAAAATTACATAGACATGGCACGGGTGCCAACTGTATCAACATCACCGCTACTTGGACAAAACCACGGATGGGTTTCCCTTGGCCCTCACCTGTCAGGGTCATGTAGGACCACTACCAGGCCCCGTTGCCGTTTTCGAGCAATTGCCATGAACTTCTCCGTCCGAGCGCTCTCGAGGTGGTTTGTTTTGTCCACCACATCTTGGGCATACCCTCCTGCCAATGTCACCACAGTCGCCAGCGCACAGCAAACAGTTGGCTAACTTTGAAATTGGGTGTCTGAAGAAAACTCAGTGATGAGTGATGACTTACATGAGAAGTGACGCGAAGGTGATGAGGGTCGTTGCACATCGAAACCTATGGTGGCTTGATATTCCCATTTTCTGGTCGAAGGTGCAAGAATGTGCAAGATCTCTGTCAAAGCTATTTACAGCAAAAGCTATAAAAAGTGTGTCATACTCAAACCAACATCCAAAACAGTGAACGGATTGAAGATGATTGAAGTAGGACCCATTCACAAACTTCCGAATCATGAAGGTCAAGAGGCAAAAGACAGACACAACGATCATCGCACCTGTGGATTCCTTGGTGGCTTCCGACTTGTCAGCAGGCCACCTGGTCACACAACAAGAGCAAAAGAGCAGTGTTTCTTCAGGTCACGTATACCAAAAACCAACTCGAATTTGATAAGGGGTGACCAATTGGAAGGGATCATCATATGCAGCCCAGAGTCTTTTGCACGGGAAAATTGAAGACTCTTTGCCTGGCGACCTGCTAAATCATGTGGCACATCAGAGCAATCCACCATGGCCCACTGGCATCAAATGCCCTTGGATTAAGTACACCCAATGGAAGCATGCGTTTGACATTCAAGTATATTTCAGAATGACAGATTAGTAGAAAGCCAGAAAAAAAGCCAGAAAACAATTCGCAGTGTTTGCATCCTATTGTCTGTTTGCTGAATTCTTGAGCAATCAGTGGGATCCAAAAATAGGACCCATGAAACAGCCTCCGCCAGGATTACTGCAGCAGATGCCGCCACATTCAGGCTTTGGACCTGAAAAAGGCCGTTGTCACAGCTGCACCCAGCAAGAAATGAGCAGTGTTCAAAATCTGGTTGTTGATAGGGGGTTCCCATAGAGGTTTCAATAGGGAGACAGCTGAGACAGCGTGTGAACGTTTAAAGTTTAAAGTTTAAACCACAACTTGTTTGGGGTCACTTGCCGCCAAGACCCACCTGAATGGAGTTAAGAAACTGTCTGTACGATAGGGGTTCCCATGGTATGCGTCCTGATGATCTCCAATAAGGTCCCCCTAGAATGACCACTCAACTCCTCACCTAGGATGGTGCTCAAATGATCTCAAATGGTCATTGCCCAATTGCTCACTACCTCTCTGAGTCTGACACCATCCCTGCCATGGGAATGAAAATGCGCCTCAGTTTAGCGATATTGAAACAGCCCTGGCCAACATTGCCAACATGGCGGTCAAAATCGCCTGAGTTTAGTCCGAAAAGCCTGGATCCTTTGCCGCAGCCCAACCCAAAACAAGCGACTCATGGGCCGCGGCAATTGCTTCATCAGTGAGGCCGTGTTTTTCCTGTGAATCCAAGGCATTTTCTGTGAGAAGCCACAGAATTTGGTGGTTTGGGGCATGGTTCAGAAGATAAAACGAAAATAAAACTGAAATTGGTGACTTTGGGGGTCTTGAACCATCCATTCTTGTGTGCCCGATCATTTCAGGTTTCAAAGCTGATGCTATCCTGCAGCCTTCAAAAGTCGCTTTCCAGTGTCCTGCCCAAACCACAAGGCGATCTTCCCACAGTCAAAGCAGGTGTCGTAAATGCTCACCTGGACAAAAACATCATAGGGGTACCAATGGACCCACACAAGTTAACATTTTTCATACCTTGCCATCCACATTCTGATCCATGAGCTCTGTGAAAATGTGATCTAGCAGGAAATGATGAAATTAAGCAAACCTGGACAACTCCCCTAGCAAACCCTTAATTTAGGCTGAATTATGATTCCGTCTACAAGTCTATGTCAATGTGTCCAAGCTCCCACCCCAATACAATGTGTTAGTTCCACCACGTCCCTGTTTCGGTTGTGTTGGTGCAAGCAAGCAGCACTGTGCTCATCTAAAGCAGTGGCAAGGGAGCGGGTTCCTTCCTTCCTCAATTCCTTCAGGAAGAATCTGCAAAAGATTTATATGGGGAAACCCGGAAGACGGGTGATTGATGGAATATGGAAATCCCAAATTCCTTTCGAGAACTAAATTGCTGTGCAATGCGCCTCAGCAGCAAAACTAAAAAAAAGGATCTAAGGTCAAAATTTCAGCAATTTTGAGGTGACCAAAAACTGACACAAACCAGTAGTGACGAACAAAATGAATCGATCTAACAGTTACTAACAAAATGCGCAAATCGCAACATGATAATTGTCGACATTGAGTCCCCGAAAGCTGTCCTTCATGCAGTTGGTTGTGCTATTTGAAATGCGAAATTTGGAGTCGTAGCCCTCCTTCAACAGATCCAGTGATTTCCGACATCTGGGATCCTGCGGCACCCAGCTAAAAAGGCATCAAAAAAACAATGGCTGGGTCAACTGCAGAGAAGATTGTCATAATAAATTAATACATTTCAATACAATACCCTCTGCGTTCCTTCATCAGACCTGCCAGTCCTGCGGTTTGGCGTCCTGCACCAAAAGCAATTCTGCCCCAAAAACATGACATGCCAGCTGAAGCCGTTCCAAATTCGGCTGGTCACTGGGATTCTCAACCTCAGCGATTCCATCAGCAAAGCTGCGCGAAAACAAATTCGAATTCTTACAAGAGCACAGTTTGAACGTACAAATGTCATCACGTTCAAAGAGGCTAATTCGATACTAAAACATGAGCAAACCTGACACCAAGTGGACGCTCCAGAGGCTTGAGTCCAGTACTCCGTACACGGGTCATTCAATCACAAGAGTATCCACAATGGGGCACACGGTTCCAAAATTCGACAAGGTAGAATAGGAAAAAAATAGGAACAGTGCACATTTTGCAAAAATTACATCAAACAAAACGCAAAAAAATGAAAAACTGGTTGTGCTGGATGTGTGAGTACCCAGAAAAACATGATGGTGATAACATAACCTTGATTTAAGTGTGGTTGTGTCCAAATCAAAAATCAACTGTGACTTTATCACATTTTAATGCAACCATTTGTGCAAGATGGAGTGTGAACAACGGTATGTTGGATTTTTTTCAAACCATGACCGTGCATAATCAAATTCATCAATCGTTTTTTAATCTGTGAAAAAATAAACTATTTATTGCCTCCTAGCAGCCACTACAATCACATCCTGTTGAAACCAACGGGATTCGGCAACGGCGCACATCGATTGAAAGGCTGGAAATTGAGCAAAAACATTGTAACCATGAATTACTATACAGAAAACTATTCCCAATAGAGTCCAAACACAACGGTACAAAATCAATGGAATATTCATGCACATCAAAGGCTGCACCACTGGCCAAGTGACATCAAGGAATTGAAGCATATCAGACCAATTACCATAATGAAATAAACATAACGCAAACACACTGAATGCTACGCATCCATTGGGCTCCACATGAAAGTTATCATCTCGCCAACTCAAAAAATCTAAAAAAATAAATGACAATTTGGGGTCGCGAAGATTTGCGTTTGTACTTTGTGTGTTTCAAACAAATGGAACGCACACTTGGGCAGCGCAAATGTGCGTTCAAATTCAAACATTTGGATTTAGTTGGGTACATCAATCGACACTTTCGAATTTGTTCCGGATTGTTTTTTTGCCACTTCACATCATGCGATTGTAGGGGAAAAAACAAAAAAAACATCCGGTTCTCAAAAAAATTACGTGATCCAAAAAAAACACACTGAAAATCACCAAATTCACATTTACGGCTGAACAGAGTGCCAGAAAAAATGAAAATACATCCCCGATGCCACAACCAAGCGAATTTGACCTGTAATTCTTTGGGTGGCCTTGGTCTCCGTATGCCTGGCCAAAAGGGGTGCGGTTTTGTTCTGGCTAATCCTTTGCAACGGTTGTTTCTGCTGAAATCAAACCAACCTTATTCGGCAAACCCGTTCAACTGCAATCAGCACTTTTTTTGCAAGTTGGCTTGTCTCGAAGCCCTTCTAGGCTGAAAGGTTAGGCCTTGAGTATAGAATGTCCACAAAGAAGCTGCAAGTCTTCTGATTGTAGATTGTTGTCGGGGAAGGTGGTGGGTCGACGAAAACAAACACGTGGGCTTCCCACCCTCCCTTGAGAGGAACGTTTCATGCCAGCGCCATGCATTTGCTTTCATAAAGTGTTGTCAGCACTGACATGCACATTATTCAGCAAACTCGTTCAACTGCAATCAGCACTTTTTTTTTTGCAGGTTGGTTTGTCTCGAAACCCTTCTCCCCATCTTCAGGTATCTTCGAGACAAATTGTTCGATTATCTTGTTGGTTGCATTGTAAACATTTTCGGTTATGTTGAAGAAAGAGGAGCTGATATCATTTCTCGAAGGCGGATCTGCTATCTTGTTTTTTGATGGCACCCTGGCAAGCCACGAAAAAACAAGAACAGTATGGTTTCGTTTGCTTCAATTTAGGCCCTAAAAGTATTCAATTAGCTACAGCTAAGATCCAACACTCAAGAGTTGCCGCGAAATCAAAGCATTCATTTTTAAGCGCGGTGCATTGAAGATGAGATACACTGCTATACATTATTTCAAACTTTAGACTCTTAACCTGTGGGCCTTGTGGACCATGGACGGAACTATGGAAGGGGCTATGGAAGAAACCAGGGCAATAAGGATATTTTTTAGAAGGTGATGTTAGAAACCATGTCAAGGGAAAATTAACAAGTTTTTGAAGAAGTAAAGAAACAAAACAATGCACACAGAGAGGACACATCCAGATTCATCAATCTGGGTTTGCACTCAAAGTCGTGAAGTATTTGACCTAAATTGAATTTGCATTGTGGGCCGGTGATGAATTCAGTTTTGCTAATAACAAAAACTTGTCATGGATACTTTATACCTATCTGATCCACAGTCTATAGATACAAAATTGAACATTTTCCTTGACGCAAAGACGCCTGAGGATTATATCCATGTGACATCCTGTTGACTCACATTGCAAGCAGCAAAAGTTGTATGTCGTTTGACATGTAACAACTGCTATTAACATGTACATGTATGCAAACTGGACAGGTGTGGGAACGTAGCAATTCTCTTCACCCCGCCTCAGTTTCAAATCCTATGTAGAAACTGTCACAAGTCGAGTCAATGGCTGTCTGCAAAGCCATGATGCAAAAGGGCTGACTCAAATTTTAATTCCTCAGTCCAATGTCCATTCCAAATTTTCTGTACAGTTTTCTCTCAGTCATCTCAAAAGTCGGTCAGCTGGTTGAGAAGGACTGTCAAGGCTTTCTGCAAGACTCAAGCCTTGATTGCATCACCACTAAATGCTGTAGCGCAAATTGCGGGTCTCCAGGATCAGATTCTCAAGCCGCCGCATGGAGTCATAGTCATTCTTCAATTCTGCCTCATCCCATTCTGCTTCAAGTCTTTGTTCTCGGGCAGTCAGCACCTCATTGGTTTCGATCATGGCACGGTGCAAAGAGGTTTCATCTGCTCCATGTGGTGGATCCTGGGAAAGGTCGGAAGAAGAAGATGGTGAGGATTCACCATGATTGTAGTGCATCCACAACTCTGGATCTGACACTTCACACATTTCTGAGTTCTTGTAACGGGCCTCCAGTTCGGCATCTGTTTCACCAATTTTTTCTTCACTTTCTTCTCCAACAGATTCGCTTTCATCAGTCTCGTGGTTTCCTGTCATTGTGGCTCTTGCACGTTTCAGCAACTTCAAGACTTTCTTGAGGTTTTGGTTCACCATGATACGTCTGTACTCATCCTTCATCACATCATATTGAGTTCCCAAGAAGAAGGAAACACCAGCAACCAGACAGATGACTGTCACATAAACTGCAAAGGTAGCGAAAGTTCCATAGCCACCATCCCCAATGGAAGCTGAGCTCATAGCTTCACAGGGCAGACCCAAGGCGCCAAGCAAAAGAACTCGCATAATTGACTTGGCCGCACCAGTTTTCAAACCATTGTTTCTGAGTAACCTGATACCTTCTGACATAGTTTCCGCCTGGTGGACCTTGTCAACTGTTTCTTGTCCAACATATGTAGATTGTGATAAACCATATACTTTGCAAAGGTTCATGAGATATCGCATTCTGTCTCTATTCAGTCTTTTGGTCCCAAGGTCTGCAGTGTTGTCTCGTGTTGACACTGTTGAAGGGGCAATCAAACCAAGTTTGACTTCGCGCTGTAACCAAAGAATTCTAACACTGATATGTCTGATTCGCCCAACGCCTGAGCGAAAGAAGAAGGCCTTGGCAGCAGAGTTGTCCAAGTTCAGCGTGAACTCCACCTTGATGCCATCATCCAACAAAAATTGGATGCAGGCTTGCATAAGTTTTCCATCACAACATGCTGAAACACCTGCATAGATTTCCGCTTCTGCTGAAGACAGTGCTATCGTTTTCTGGGTCCTCGAGCTGGAGTACAAGAGGTTGCCAAAGAGACATATGTGACCTGAAGAAACGCTCTTACGGGTACTTCTGTGTTTTGCCCAATCTGAGTCTGAATAAACTTCCATGGTGTACTCAGTTGGCGTGTAGTGCAACAGTCCTTGGTGGTCAGTGTAGGTCATCACAGTGCATTGGTCGACACAACCCAAGAGGTACAGGCAAAGGTGGCGCAGGCATATGAAGGCCTGCACAGTTGGTTTTGACATCACTTGTGCTAGTCCTCTGATTGCGTACTGGCACTCGACAAAGTCACTGGCAATGTAAAGCAAGATGCCAATGCATGACCTAAAAGTCTTGGCCTTGTCTGGGGCCAATTCTTCTGTTTCGTCCGGCTCGTCCAGCAACTGGTGGACTGGCACTTGTTTGGGCTTCAGGCCTCTGTTGATTTTCATCATCTCAAAAAGCTTTTCCAAGTGTTTAGGATGGCTTTGAATAGCCAACTCACGTTCACTCAAAAGCATGTGCCTCCTTTTCAAGAAGGTCAACTCATCTCCAGGCTTTTCAAGTACCTCCAAAGAGATTTTGTATCTCTTTCTCAACGCAGGTTCCAACACATTGCGCAAGTATTCATGGTGTGCAAGGCATAAAACATCATCAACATGAAGTAGAAGAGCACACTCAGCATTGGGTGATCTCAGCAAGCATGGGTACGGCTCACACTCATAGATCTTCAGCTCGGTCTGCAAGAATCTGCTAAAAGACTCATGCCACATCTGAGAGCCATTCCGTTGTCCAGGTAGAACACGTCCCAAAACGTACGTGGTTGAAGCACTTGCGGCATCAACACAAACAACTTCTGTCAATTCCTTTTGCTCCACAGTAAGGAAGGCATCACCAATGTCGATTGAGCATAGCACGTACCCCATAGGCTTCCACTTCATGTAGAGGCACGGCAGCAACCTAACAGTCAAAAATGAAGAAGCTGGGCTGAAAAGATCTTGACGATCTGGAGATAGCCATGCAAACTCTCGTGCAACATACCTTGATCTCCTAAGCCAAACTCTTTGACCATTCAAAGTCTTGTCACGCCAGGTTCTTACCATCCTAGTGGTTAACATTTTGGGCTCCTCACCCTTGAAGTCAAACTCATTGGCAGGGATCAAAACTCCCATGTTCCTGAGACGCTTGATTTCCAACTGGTCTGCAATCAGGTCCAACCGCAACAACTCATGGTCCGGAAGAGACGGTTCCAAAGTAGAGAAAGGAAGACACAACTGTTCCAGAAGTTCTGCATCAGTATGACTAGAGTCATCAGTTTCATCTAAGTCAAAGTCATAGGACTCAAGCTCATCAAGGTCCTCACTGTCGAACTGCGTTTCATTTGGCTGATCCTCGTGTTCAAAGACAGCAAGTATACGTTGGTGCTTTGAGGGTCTTTCTGATTCATCTCCACCATCTCTAGGGTGGACAACAGCTGACGTCTCTGCCCCTGAAGGCGCATCTCCCAGAGATGAACCTGAAGCAGGATCACTTTGTTGAACATCATGTGGGGTTTGTGGAACAGCTGCTCCAAGCGCTGTTGAAACCCCCGCCTCAGCTGTCACTTCCATAGTTTCATCACCAACTGTATCACCTGCTAAAACAGCACTTTGTGGTGGCGCAACCAAACGTGGTACATGTGGTCTTTCATCTGGTGTTGGAGGCAAGTTCATAACTGCCTCAGCATCAAAGTCTCTCTGGTGCAGGAGTCAAAGGAGATGCAGTAGGAGGAGCTATACGTTTTGCAAGGACAAGTTGAGAGCCTAAAGAGGCATAACTAAACTGCCATGGACACGCCTCAACACCTCCAATCATCTCTCCATTCCATGCCTTTGAGGCAGGCAAGCGTCTAACGCTTCTTGTGACAAACAACTGCTGAGCACCAGGTATGGCAATGATGTGAACGTCATTGCTCAAAGTCTTTCCCAACCACACGCCTTTGGTCCACTGAGGTGCACCCTTGTGTGTCTGTTTCAGGAAACCAAGAACGGTTTCTCCAAACATAGCCAAACGTCCTGTGTATGCTCGATCAGCACACAACTCATAAGCAGTATGACCTTGACGAACTACATACCGATTGTGCAGAAAACACGCATGAAGTAGGGCCCATGCGTAGAGTGGATGCTGGCATCCAATCACATCAGCTATGCCAACACCTTGCTCGATCTGCTGAATAAGCAAATTGGCCTGTTGTCTTACCAGTTTTACTGTGACTTCTGCAGCACCATTTGAAGCATGACTTGAGGGTCCAACCGTTTCAGTCAAAACTCTGATCCCCAAACATCTACATGTTTTCTTCACGGCCTCAAGAAGTGAAAGTGTTGAAGGTTCTTGATCACATTTGAGTGCTATTGTATCATTGCCACACCAAACAATGAAACGACAAAATTCAGTGCACAAATAGTTGAGGTATCGGCCTCCCTTTTGTGGCGTTGGTACCACATGCATAGCCCCTGAACAACCAAAATCAAAAGAAATACAGCTATGTGCAGTTTCAGTGTGATGTTGTTCAGAATGACCATCTTGTTGTGATCGATTTGCAACACAAAGTTCACACCACTTGGCAAAGGGATAGTGCGTGAGATAGTGCTCTGCCTTCTCAGCGTCGCTTGGTTCTGCAGGGACTGGCTGTCCATGGACAGGTCTGGAAACATCACCTCGCAAATCACGGTGTGCAGAATGAGCAGCAATAAGCTCTTGACTTTCTAAATGTTTCCACAAACGCTCCAAACATACTGCCTTTCCACCGGTTTTGGAGAGTCCAAGGCTTTCACAAGCACCTCTCAAAGTACGCAAGGGAGTATTGCTATCTAGCTTGACACCATCAACCATCACAGACTTGTAGTCCACATCTGGTCTCTCTGCAACTGGTAACTCAGCTTCTTCTGCAGCCGCTGGCAACTCATCTGGTGGCTCCACGTTGGGCCTGACAGGGGCAGCAGCAGAAGGCGCTGATGCAGAGGAAGAAGAAGAATGGGATTGTGAAGATGATCTCAAAGGAAAGTTTGCTGGCATCACCACATCATCATGAACACTGAAACCCAAAGCCTCTGGTGGTACCATGGCATCATGCGCAAGTGTGATCACCTCCACAACCGGTTTTGCAGTTTGAAAAGGAATAACACGTGAAGAAAGGTCTGAAATGCTCTGACTAAATTCCTCCAGTTCCCAGGTGCCATCTGCAAAACGCACCAAAGTTGTTCTAAGCCACATCAATGGCTCACTGGGGCAATACGTCGTGTCAACATGTTGAGGTGACACGCTTCTCAAACCATAAACAGAATCACTCAGCCTTATCCAACCACGTTGTAAACCAGCAAGGCTCTCGCCCAAAACAACTGCCCTGACATGTTCAACTGGACTGCTATCCATGTTGCTCAACATTCTGATAACACCATGCGCACACAAAGAATTACGCTTGAAGTGGACTGGAATGCTCTTGCCATTTCTCACCAGAAACATTGAATCACCAGAATTTTGAAGACACCATCCATCTCTGAGAAGACGACCCATTGAAATAAGTGGTGAAGTAACTGGCGCTATGATAAACCGCTCTTTGAAAACGACTGAACCAAATTGCACTTCAGCTATTCGAGCTTCCCTCACTGATATTGGCTTGCCCTGAGCATCAATGAAAGAAGAAGACTTGTCAAAGGTTGGATCCTTGTGACCTATTGCAGCATATTCTAAGGGCAGAACTGAACCATCAGCTCCCGAGTCAATCACTACCTCCACTCTGCCGTCAGTCAAGTTGCCGACAGCTCGAATACAGTCGAAAGAAGAATGGCTGGCAGGTGAAAGGTCAATGCAATAACTGTCACAAAACGTCCAAATACCATCATCATCAGTGCATGACATGTCAAAGTGAGTACAAGCGCACATGTATGCTTCCTCAACATGGTCCAAGTCATCTGCGGGTGAAATTTCAGCACATGAAACAACATTGCAATGGCCAGAGCTTTCATACATTGTAAGGTCACGGAAGTCCTGTTCTCCATCACTTGAGCCCAGTCAAAACTTCCAAGAAACGGAAAACGCGAACGCGGCCTACGCAACAGAACCTGAAAGGGGGGAAACCCTAAATAAATAAAACCCTAAAACTAAAACCAGCAAAACTAAAACTACCACCAACAGAAATGACATGAAACGTGAATTGCAGTTGCTCAGTGAAAACTGAAATGCGGTGAATCAGTCAGCCACCCTTTTTTGTCGCGTGGATTTGGAACTGAATCCCTGAACTGATCCTTCAGGCTGGTGGTGATATTCACCTGCATATATATTTTGGCCTCATGTCAGGCTCTGAGTAAACTTTGCGCCCCTCAAGTCAAATCTCTAGAGGAGGAAATAAGGGCTCGATGAATGAAAACCAGAGAGCGGTGGCACCACGAGATCAGTGAGTCCAAGTGTGTCCGTGCCAGGGCCACAATAGCAGGGTGATAGAAAGACCCTGTCTCTTCAAAATAGTCTTCTCGTTCATCCAGGGAATGTCGAAGTTTCCAAGCCTTCTGATGTAAAAGGATCAGGGTGGCATAAAGGTGGAGCATCTGAAATACCGGTGTCATTGTCAAATGAAAGGAGGCACCAGAAACAACTCGCACTGCCCGCAATGAAAGAGAGGGCAGAAGCAGTAAGAATATGAAATACTGAAAGACGATGTTGTTGTCGTCGGCAAAGGTCAGAATAAACAATGAAGCCCCGTGGACTCGTAGAGAGCATATAAAGCACCTCAACTCCCAGGGTTTTGGGAGGGCGGGTGTTCAAAATTTTTCCAGCCCTTGAACCTTCAAGCAACACGTAACAAATTGGAGTGATCAGCACAACTCTTCGAATGACATCAGACTGAATCTCCCTCAGTGTTTTTTTTACAACAGTGGGGAATCAAAAGGTAAACAGAAACCGAATAACGTGTGAACAGATTTGCGACTGAAGCAACCAACTGAACAGTTCACACTCACACGAGTGTTCTCCTCCTTTTTTTTTTAAACGCTGAACCTGGCAGCTCCACCTATTACACCTTTAAACTCAAACCCAGAAGAAAGCAACGCGGAGGAGAGGACACGCCAGCAGGAGGCAGCGAGCAGAGCAGAGGGAGCAAGCAGGAATCTAGAGACCGAGGGGCGAGATCCCCACCCAAGCCCCCCAGAGGGCCAAGCGACTTCAAACAGTCCCCACGGTGAACCGTGAAGGCCTGTTCTCCATCACTTGAGCCCAGTCAAAACTTCCAAGAAACGGAAAACGCGAACGCGGCCTACGCAACAGAACCTGAAAGGGGGGGAACCCTAAATAAATAAAACCCTAAAACTAAAACCAGCAAAACTAAAACTACCACCAACAGAAATGACATGAAACGTGAATTGCAGTTGCTCAGTGAAAACTGAAATGCGGTGAATCAGTCAGCCACCCTTTTTTGTCGCGTGGATTTGGAACTGAATCCCTGAACTGATCCTTCAGGCTGGTGGTGATATTCACCTGCATATATATTTTGGCCTCATGTCAGGCTCTGAGTAAACTTTGCGCCCCCCCGCAGCGAGGGGCCTGACACTGAAACTGACCCTCACCACTGAGTTTTCTCAAACTTCGCACTTCCAACATGTTTTGCAAACTTTCTCAAAGAGTCCTTGTCCATGAACTCATGTCTCGCTTCCCAAAGCTCGCGCAGCAGGCTAAAATCGAAGTCTTCCCACTTGCACTCCAAACGCAGTTTCATTTCCACCTGGCTGAAGTCCTCATTGGTAAGCTTGTCAGCTAGATCGTTTTCGGCCCGGGGACGCCATCGCAGCTCCAACCGCATCCCCCAACGCATGAGCATGTGCGTCAACTGCATGTTGATCAAGGCCAGTGGAAACTTAGTAGAACTTCCCTTCTGGAGAAGGGCCTCATTCGACTGGTTGTCTGTGCCTGCTGCCAAGTAAACTGGAACGGTCATTCTTTCTCTCCCTTCTCCATAGTTGAACAAAACAAGTGCCACGGTGGTGGCCAGCAACTCCGCTGGCGCTGAAGCCCAGCTGCTCTCTCCATCAGGCTTGAACAGGTAGGGCGCCTGTTCGGGCTCCAAACGAAGTGAAAACCAGCGGCCCGTAGCCAGATGGTGCCCACCCAAAACGACAACCCCTTGAGCGCACGTCGCATCTGTCCTAAACTGTTCTTCCAGCAAACGGATGGGCCTATGGCATGAATACATAAAACTGCAATCTGCAAGTTGCCTGGAAATGAATTTGAGAACCAGGACCACCATGCGCGGTGCCGTGGCGACCGTTCCTTTTGCCAGAGCGGCTGCCCAGCTATACAAGGGTGCCAGGTGCGCCTTCAGCCAGACCAGGACTCGGGCAAGGAAAGCGAGTCTCCCAAGGAACTCCCCGAAGCGACGCATGTGCACTGTGTAGCGTGCTTCTTCCATCTCCTTTATGAAATTCAGCAACCAAAGGCCACGTTTGGCTGTCACTCCCATCTTGCATCGTCCATAGTCCAGCTGAAAACCCACAAACGTTACTTCTATTCCCCCCTGCGAACTTCGCATACTGGAAAGGGGTGCCCAAAGCCTCATAGGCTGCCAGCATCATCCACAAGGTCAGGAACTTGCGTTCCCCGAAAACCACAACATGCAAATCATCTACGCAGATGAGCTGGTAGTTGCATTCCGTCCCCATAGCATTGCCCACCAGCCTTCCAACTGTTCCCATGAGCCGCGTCCACCAATAGGAGGCGCTTGAAACGCCGAAGGTTCCCACCTTGTTGACCCAGATGGTGTCGGAGGCCGAAGAAGCTTTGCAGCAAATGAGAGGGTGATCCCTGCTCCGCAATTTCACCAGCCTATGCGCCGACTTGATATCAGCTGAAATGGAAAACCTGGCCTCCCTGGTCTCGGTCACCTCCCGTATGACACCAGCCGCGTCTTCCGGCCCAGGGTATTGTAATTGGTCTCTGAAAACTATCCTGTTGTTGAGCTGAACATGGTGGGTGGCATCGTGTATGGGACGGATGTCACCGTTGGGTTTCTCTATGGCCCCCATGGAAGCCACCAGCACTTCCCGGTCAGGGTGTTTTGCTTTCAAGGCCGCAAGCGTGGTCGGATACATCCTCCCCAGCCTTTCTTCTTCTCTAAATTTGTTCTCCAACTCCTCTGCTACCAGCTCCGCCGACTTATAGTTTTCTGAAAAGGGGATATAGTCCGAATCGTCCAGCTTGCGGTGTTTCTCCTTTGGTGGAAACACAGCAGGAACCCTCGGCAGCGGTTCATCTAGTCCAACTGGCACGCCCGTTGCAAACGACTCTCTGTCTTGTACCAGCACCTGGTAGTCAGGGTCCTCCATAACTTCTAGCGTTTGCGCCAAAAGGTGAAGGAAGAAAGGTTGGCCCTCCGTGAGCTCCATGGCGCTAGAGGGGGATGGCAAAAGCTGGGCCCATCTCTCCCTAAGTTTCTGCAGCGCACTTTCTGAAAACGGCGAACCCTGCAGCCTCCCCAAAGCCAAGTGAAAAGCTTCCTTCCTTAGGTCGCCGATCTGCGACACCACAAACTCCTGCAGGAGCTCTTTCAACTTTCGTCCCATCTGTTGTGCCTCCATGCTAAGGTATGCCCCTCTATCCTCTGGGCGCCAACGGTTTGCAGAGCAAAGACCAAACCCATCAACGAACGGTTTGGATCGTCCGCCCCATTCCACTACCAAAGGCTTTCCTCTATTGCGAGCCTCTTCTGGCCCTTCTCGAGCTGGATACGCGTCTTCCCCAGCTTCCGGTCTCTGGGTGTTGGTGTCTGAGTCGTCCGGTTGGTCCAAACTATCCGTGGTGACTGTAGATGCTGATCCAGCTGCAACTGTAGTGGTTGTAGTTGTCGGCTCAGCCTCTGTAATGGGCCCAGCATGTAGGCCGAGTGAAGAGGTCCTTGCGCGCCCCACCCGGCTGGCGATGAGCTCGGCCAGGTATTTGCAAAGCGCCGGAGGGTAGGCAGCAGAACCCTCGGTGGCCCACTTTCCGCTGGGTAGTTGGCCCAAAAGGCGCTTGGCATGCGTGGAGTGTCCACAAAATGTAGGCAAGGGGCCCAGGTACTGTCGTTCTTTGTCGAAAACTGGCCACGTGGCATGTGGTAGGTCTTGGCAAGGCTTGAGGGTAGAAAGAAACCTGGTTGGCTTGGGCGATGGCGCGTCAAAATGACACTGGAAAATTGCCCAAGTCGTGGCTTTTGTGGCTTGTTGTAGCTGTTGCATTGTTTCCCACTGCCAAATACTAGCGGGCCATTCACCATGGCATGCCCCTAAATCTTCGGGATGTTCGATCAGAAAATCTGCATTGCATTGAAAGCATTTGTGTGCAGTGGCGATGGTCTGGTCCACCAAATAGTTGTGATCTTGTGCCAGCTGTAAATTTGAACCTGTAAGCCAAGGAAAGCCTCTAGGCCAGTTAAAATTGCGTAGTGGCCGTGGGCCAGGCGAGGTTTTCCAGTTGAAACGGACCCTGCTAAAGGTGTTGCAGGGTGGTGACATAACTACCACGTCCCATAATCCAGCTTCTAATTTCTGAAAGATTTTGTCCCAAAGTTGACTGTTTAACAGATCATCTGAGGCCTGTCGTTCCACATCGACCTCCGTAACATGCAAAGAAAATTCGTGCTCCAAGCCAAACTCCTGGAGGTAGTGCTTGACGTCTGCCTTGCGAGGCTTCCCACAAAACAAGTACAGCACCCGCAATGTGGGCTTGCTAGTGGGTGCTGCTGTAGGCTGTCACTCAGTTTTGCTGTTGCCCTTTGGAAGATCTTTGCAACGATCATGTTCCCGGGCGGCGTGTTCACCATAACAGCCTTTGATACGACAGATGTGTAGTCTGCCGCACCGACCCGGACAGCCTTGGCTGTTAAAGGCAAAGCATATTTCACGTCCGTCCGGAGAGTGGGTGACAAGTTGGTGGTCCCCGTGTTTTCCTTTCGATTTGCCTGATGCTTTTCCTTTTCCTTTGTCAAATTTGCCTCGCACTTTGCCAAACCCCTTCGACTTGCCCTTCTTGCTGTCGTAGGTGTTGTTGAAGGAGCGCTGACCGCCATGTCGATTTGGGTCATGGTTGGTCAGAGCCAAAGGGGTGGTAAAATATGACTCCTTGAGCTCAGCATCCTTTGTAACGGCCTCCAAGGCCTCTGCCAATGTCTTCTCCCCTTTGTTGACCAGTTTGAAGGCTTCTCGCCGCAAACGGTGCTCAAATTGCAGCACCAGGGCAAAGGGTGGACGCAGTGGCTGCTGCTGTCCATCAATAGGCACTTTGATACCATGTACCTTTTCTCCAAGCACGAACTCCACAAAGCGATTGAAGTCCTCCATCTTCAAACCTGCCAAGAAGTGCTTTGACTTGAATTTTGAGGACATACACAGCCATGTTGTGGCCTCCAATTTCATCAACCTCCGGTATTCTTCTGTGCTTTCTGGAAGCCGGCCTTTGGATTTTGTTTTGGTGATCCTCACATGGCCCGTGCTGTCCAGTGATGTTTGCAGAGCTGATGTGTTGCGGTCAGCTTTGGAAGACACTTCATCCAGGCTTGCTGCTGTACATTCTCCATTCTCGCATTCTTCAACCTTCAAAGCAAGGTATTCCGCACTGGGTGTCTCGTGGTCGGAGAGGTGGCCTAGGGCCTTCTCGACTGCCTTAAGCATTGCCAATCTCTCACTGTGCTGAAGGTGACGGGGGACCCCAAGAACCTTGCTTTCGGCTTGGATCTCTTTCTCTTTGGTGTATAGCTCTTTTCCTGCATTCCAAGCTGCCACCACCTGCGCTACTTGTGCCCGCAGCGCTGGGTCTCTTGCTGGGTCCAAGTTGAAGTCGGCTTGGACCGCAGTCCGCACATCTGCGGAACTTTCTCCTATGGCTGTAAAGACCCTCAGCGACTTGTAGTGCTGGGCCATCTCATACTGAAGCGCTAACGGGATTTCGGCATCATCCCAAACATACTGCAGATCAGAAGTGACGTTGCTTCGCAAGTATTCCCTGCGATCATCATCCGTCACTGCCATCGCTGAGTCTGAAGCTAAAGCTGAATTGTTTTGTATTGTTTCCTGTCTCTTAAAACTCCCATGTGTGAAGAGGAGGAAGGAGAGTGCCGAGGACGCAGGACAAACCACAAAAACAAACAATATAAAACATGAAGCCTGCCACAAATTGAAATTCTGTCACCATCTCAAAACTCTGAGCCTCAACCACGAAAATAAATAAACTGGAATCCCAAAACAATTCTCCAAACAGTTCTTCCTCTGTGTCTCTGGACCGCCAAAACTGAAACCTTTATTTGTGCTCTGAAATCAAATGTGTGAAGAGGAGATGGGGAGAGTGCCGAGGACGCGGGACAAATGAATAGCCAACAAACCCGATGCATTTTCACTGAAACGTTTACGATCTGTTGATCGCTTTGCAAACTGCCATTGCGCTCGTTTAGCGCCAGCGCCCTATTGCCACTATTCTGTGGATGTGGCAGACATGAAACTTAAACTGCAAATGCAAACATCCTAAACCTTCTGTCTCAGACAGTCCATCTTGCGATTGCAAAAGTGGTGACAAGAACGGTGGAAACGAAGGTGAAAACAAACTGACATGTACTGCAAACTGTCCTAAATCACCGGATGCCATTCTGATGCCTCTCCAGCCTCGGCCTCTTCAGCCTCTGCCTCGTCTCCGGATGTATCCGTAGAGGATGAATCGCCTGAATCGCTCGATGCATCATGGTCAGTTGTCATGCGACCCAACTCTTCTGAAATCTTACGTTGACAAATCTTGCAAATAGCATCATATGCTGCATCCTGAACATTGTCAACATCAGTGCTGTCGATGCATCTGTCTGAGCGCACCGGACACTTGCCATGCATGTGTAATCGTCTAAACCCTGTCCTCCTCGACGTCGTGATAAAATAACCCAAATGAATTGGGTTCTCACCTGCCTCTCGTTGCACGGCCTCCATGACCTGTTGTTTCTCCTGAACGTCTACCTGTTCAACATCCGAATCAAACGTGTCGTAAACCTCACCAGCATTGGCTCTCTTGTAGTCATGCGTGTGGCGTCTCCTGACTCTCTGCCCTACCAGCTCATGCTTGTCTGCAAAATGCATGATATCTTCCAACAATTCTGACTCATCCAACGCTCGGGCTCCCAACACAATTGAGTCCCTGACCAAATGCTGAACCTCTTCCACCACTTGACGTGATGTATGCAAGTATGCATTGCTTCCTGTTCGTCCTATCGACCATCTCCCAAGGAAGTCCCGCTTAGTCTTGTCCACTCCTAACGATGCTGCCGCCTGTGTCAGGAAATGACGTGGGCTATGGCCTCCAGTGGTCTTCGTCCTGGCCATCCTGAGTGTCAGGCCACGGTTGCTAAGCCTGACAGATTCCGGCATGACATTCTGCAAATCATCAACCCTCATTGCAGCCCAAGTTGAAACCAACATACACCATGCAATTAGCCGCAGACAGAATTCATGATCCATCTCAATGACAAACAGCTCAAGCGCCAACAATATTGCTGTCGTGTATGGTTTTGCAGCCTTTGGGAACGTGTTCGTGGCCAGTTCCTGTTTCCAGCTCTCAATATGTGCCTTCCACAATGGATCCCGTGACAACTGTTTACCATCCGGAATCCGTCCAGCCTGTTCTAAAACAACCAGTGCAGCCTGAAATTCTGAAACGAAACTGAATGTAACCCCATTTTGTATATGTTCCTCAATGTAGTGTATCAAGACGTCCAGGCCGCCCGGCCAGGTCTTACCTGAATAGGCTACCAGCCATGTGCGAAAACGGTTCCATGACCTGTATCTGTTCCTCAAGGTCTTTGACCGCCTTGCACCAAACAGTCGTAGCCAAGCCTTGTTCGGATCCTGCAATGCCTCTATCTGGAGACTCACCGGCAGAACGGCCTCCTGTAAAATGCCTGCAAGCTCTAATGCATATCTGTCTCTCTCTTGTTGTTCTTTGGCCGCTCTCGTCTCCGGTCCTTCCCCAGTTGAAGACCTACGCTGGGAACGCTTCACAGTGTCCAACATAAAACGGGGATCCTCCTTCATGATTTGCTCAAAAGTTTCTTGTATGGTGCCTACTGTGTCCCGTTTGGGATGTGCACAAAACTCGAAACTCAGTTCTCGGTCAAGGATACGCTGCCTCTTGACCTGTGGTCCATACTTGGTATGCCATGCAACCAGTCCCTCAACACCCAACTGTCCAAAGTCAGCCCACTCCGTCTCTGTCAAAATACCTTGCAAAAGGTCTTGGGCACCAGCCGCATCATCAAACGAATACCACAGGTATTTCAGATCACCAAAGATTTCCTTCAGCCTTTGCCTAAAGCTCTGTTTAACTGGAATATCATTCCAATCCATGCCATACGTCGAAGATTGCAGCGCGTCCCTGACTGTTCAAAATTTTTCCAGCCCTTGAACCTTCAAGCAACACGTAACAAATTGGAGTGATCAGCACAACTCTTCGAATGACATCAGACTGAATCTCCCTCAGTGTTTTTTTTACAACAGTGGGGAATCAAAAGGTAAACAGAAACCGAATAACGTGTGAACAGATTTGCGACTGAAGCAACCAACTGAAACGGTTCACACTCACACGAGTGTTCTCCTCCTTTTTTTTTAAACGCTGAACCTGGCAGCTCCACCTATTACACCTTTAAACTCAAACCCAGAAGAAAGCAACGCGGAGGAGAGGACACGCCAGCAGGAGGCAGCGAGCAGAGCAGAGGGAGCAAGCAGGAATCTAGAGACCGAGGGGCGAGATCCCCACCCAAGCCCCCCAGAGGGCCAAGCGACTTCAAACAGTCCCCACGGTGAACCGTGAAGGCAAGCTCATCACTGCTGGGAAGTTCTTCAACGATGGGGCCAACATATGAAGAAAGCAAACGCACAGAGCCAGTAGCTGAGGTCATGGTTGTTGAGGCAGCGCTTGAAGAAGCACCACTGCTAGAGCTTCCAGCGTTTTGCATCTCTTCAACTTGATTCACATTCTTTGTATTGGTGGGCTTCCCATGCAACTTCCAACAGTCTCTTTTGAAATGCCCATATTTACCACAATGTAAACACTGATCACTCATGGTAGCCGCACGTGGCTTTGAAACATCTTGTTTGCTCTTTCCCTTACCTTTGTCAAACTTACCCTTAGTCTTTCCTTTGGAAAATGAAGAGTCTTTACTTTTGTGCTTTCCTTTGCCTTTGCCCTTCTTGCCTTTCTCAGAGCTGGATGGCAAAATGCCAAGTTCACTAGGAATTCGACCAGCGCTCCAAGTGGTTGTCACCGACTCATAGCTGAGGACAAGTTCCCTGACCTGGGCATACGTTGAGTGCTCTGTCATCTGCAGCTGAATGTGGGTCTGCAATGCCTTTGGCAACGACTTGACCAGGATGCTCAACATCAGGTCATCAGCCACATCAGTTCCAGAAGATCTCATATACTCAGTTCTCAAACGTTCAAGGCCTAAAATCTGGTCCATCAGGGTTTTGTCCTTCAGGCTGAAGGCTGGAATATTCATCAACGCAGCAAGCAAGGAAATCGACCTGCTTTTGGTCTTTGGTGAAAAGAGTTGCACCAATTTCCTCCAAACCTCGAAACCATTTCTCTCAGAAGTCTGGTGCGGTAGCCGCAACAGCTTGCCACAAAGGATCCCCGTAAGGATGTTGAAAAGCTGTTTGCATCTTTCTTGAACGTCATTGGGCTCGGATCTAGGAAACTCTATTGAAGTTGAGGCATAGTTGGTCTCGACTCTATGAAGGTCACTTTCAAAACCACTATCACCATAGAACAACCAAGCTTTGAAGTTCACTGTGAAGTCTTGCCACTTGCTAAGATCTTCTTCGTGGTTTTCAGAACCAAACGGGTCAGGTCGTCTAATGACTTTTGAGGCTTCACTAAACCCCTTTCCACTCAAACCAGTTCCACGACTAGCCTGAACATCTCTCAAAGCTGCAGCCGCATCAGCAGCAGCACGAGCAGCGTCTGTAGCTGCTTGTATCAGCTGGGCCACGTCCAACGTGCCACCATCACCAGCCATGCTCCAAGCAGAGCTGCGCAACCAGAACCCAAATTGCTCAACTAAACGGCAACGGGAGTTTCCTAGTCCAAGGTAGCTTCAGGTGCCCTCACCAGAATAAAGGATCTGGATCACAGGGCTCCGCTACCATGAACATTTTCCTTGATGCAAAGACGCCTGAGGATTATATCCATGTGACATCCTGTTGACTCACATTGCAAGCAGCAAAAGTTGTATGTCGTTTGACATGTAACAACTGCTATTAACATGTACATGTATGCAAACTGGACAGGTGTGGGAACGTAGCAATTCTCTTCAAAAATTCTGAAAGTGAGATTGGAGTGAACTTATGTGTTGTTCTTCTGTTCTTTCATTTGAAAACTAAATCTACTTGGGTAATCTTAGGTGCAAATAAGATTCTACCTAGGCGTCACAAACTGACGCCTAAGTAGAATTCTATTTGCGCCCAGGTAGATTTTGCATTCCAAATTATAGCCTGGGGCTGTTGGACGCCTAAGTAGAATTCTATTTGCGCCTAAGTAGATTACGTCTTCCAAATTCTAGTCTGGGGCTGTTGGAAGACATAATTCATAATTTACTTAGGCGCAAATAGAATTCTATTTAGGCCTTGCCTCAAATACTTGAAATTGGAAACCTTGAATAAATGCACAACCCGCATACAGATAGTGGGTTTAATTTATGATGCTGCATTTGTTTGAGGGAAGATTCGGGCGATTTAAGCGCAATTGGAGAAATACTTAGGTGGTTCTGAGTTTGATATCTCACAGCTACTAGGCACTGCAGGGTGGGAGTGGATAGTTTCTTCCACCCCCGCTATGCTATGCTGCAAGTGCTGTGAGCTTTGAACCGAAAGAGTTCAAACATCAAACATCAAAACAACGTGAACAAGTACACAAGTAGTTCTGAGTTTGATATCTCACAGCTACTAGGCACTGCAGGTTCAGAGTTTGACATCTCACAACTACCAAGCACTGCAGGCGGCCTTTTTGACTGTCTGGTTTGAGCGTCGAGTTGCCCGGTATATATGTTCAACCAAAATTCTCTGGGTAACGAACGCTAATAGAATCCCCAAAAAGTTGTGTTAGTTAGCCAGTCAAAATAGGCAGCCAGGAAACAGTGGATCCTAAAGGGTAAACACGGGTTTGATTTGGGAATGCCCAAAGGTCACTCAGGTGGATGCGGATTCTGTTCTCTGCATGGAATTGATTTGGCAACGTTAAAGGATCCGTGCGCCTGCTTAGCAGATCAGCGTCCTCATTCAAGCGTCCCGGGATGTGGTGGACTTGCAAGAAACTCCCCATGTGAGCCAATTGATGACTCAGCCTTTCTATCAGTGCACCCATCGGCTGATCGGTGCAGAAGAGCTTGTTGATAATGGTTTCAGCACCTGCGTTCTCTGATTTGGAAGACATGCAAAAATTTAATCGGCTGTGCGTAGCTGATGATTTCAAAATCCAAACGAGGGCACATTGGCTGAGTGCTTCCAAGAATGCGATATTTTTCTGCAAATCATCTTTGACTTCAATCTGCACTGCACGAAAATCTGACACGGAATATTGCTCAGAGAACCACCAAGTTTGTTGTTGGGATTGAATTAGTCCGCCAATTCCACATTGAGAACATGAGGCACATGCATCGGCTTCCATTCTGACATCTGCAAGAATCTTGGGTCTCATTGTGGCCATGAGATTTCGTGAAAGGAACCAAACTTTGAGTTGACGCAAAATGCGCAGTGAGTGCTGCGACAATTTCCGCTGAGAGGATCCAGGGTCACGAACATGCATCCAAATGGGACGTTCTGTGATTGGCACATTTTGCAAATCAGCCTTGCATCGCAGGGAGCGATGCCGGGCTGAAACCAAAGTAGAATCCAAGGGAATGGCAGTGTTTGGCGGTTGACTGCGAAATGTCAAGTCATCATCAAGGCAATCTTGCAATGCCTGCCAATTGGAAGGCAGGCAGCTATACAGGGTCTCTGGAAATTTATGCAAATCACTATACAACCAATGGAGTTGAGATCGGAGTTGTGGGAAAATGGCGGTGCACCACATTGCTAGGCCCAAGAATTGTTCCAGAGCCTTCTTTTTCATTTTGGGATACTGCAGCATATGGTCAATGAGTTGCAACATTTTTTCGCGCTTGGATTCTTTCAAGTAAATTAATCCTGCTGAAAAGTTGAATTGCCAACCGATCCATGTTTGATGATGCCCCCAATGACATTTCTTCCAACTAACTGGAACTTCAAAAAGCAAGCAGGCAACCACCATCAAGGTGGCTAGAAGGGGGAGGCTGGAAAATGGGGCGGTGAGGAGGAAATCATCCACAAACAACCATAGAGCATGCTTGATGAATAATAGGCGGTGAAAAAAACGCATCAAAAAGCTGCCAATTCGTCCCCACCAATGTTGTGAAAAACTGGCCCCAAATGGACAAACTTGATAGTAAAGAAGTTTTTCTTGAAAGGTGAACATCAGTAATGACTGTTCTGATGGGCGGACCCTCACACGCTTGTGTGCACTCTTGATATCTAGACCAAATGCTGATTGATGTTCCTGGCGCTGTCGCAATGGAAATGAATGCATGACGTCTCGTGCTGTGGGCATTGACTGCTTCTCTGGGATCCAACAAGATTTATTTGTGCCACTCACTGTTGGGTCCATCACAAGGCGGGGAGGTCGAGCGTCACTGAATGCGATGGAAAGTTTCCCAATGGCCAGCCTCGGCCATTTTGCTTGGGCGTCAGCTACTGTCCCATGAAAAGGTACTACAAAGCCTTGGTCAATTTCTTCTTGAAGCAAGCTACTGGCGATATCTTGGTTATCATCTGCTGAGCGCCAGTTTTGCAAATGAATGGAGAGATCATTAGGAATTGGCGAAAAAACATGGCTTGACGGGATGTCATGATCTATTCCCGTTGGCACTCCAGCGAATAGGGCTGGCCAGAGATCTTGGTCTGGGTCACGCATCAATTTGGTCATCTGCTGAGCGCCAGTTTTGCAAATGAATGCAGAGATCATGGTCTTGAGGGCTTTGATCATTAGGAATTGGCGAAGAAACATGGCTTGACGGGATGTCATGATCTATTCCCGTTGGCACTCCAGCGAATAGGGCTGGCCAGAGATCTTGGTCTGGGTCACGCATCAATTTGGCCAGAGATTGCAAGGCTGACAGGCAAAATGGCTGTCCGTTGGGAACACCTCAGTCTACAGTTTCACCTTTGGTGTTGAAAACAAAAGATTCAAATGATGCACGAAATGGTGCAAGGTCGTCTTCACTTAAGGGCAAGGATGAATCAGGCATGGAAAAACGATGTGCGAGTTTTTGATGCAGATTATTGGAAACAATCAGGCTCATCCAAGTGGAGCGTAGGGGTTTAAATACATTACTTGATTCTTGGGGCATACTCCAATCTGGGGAAGACCCAACGCCCCCACCATCAACATGTGCATGTGGCACGGCATCGAATGCTTTCAGCGGAATGAGGCGTAATGCCTCATCAATTGTGATGGTGGCACCTGGTTGGCAAAGAGGAGCTACAATTTGGGCAAAATCCTACGCTAGGTGAGCTGGGTATTCAGCGGTGTGGCGACTAGCATACTGGCCATCTGAGGAACGAAGTCCTGCCAAGGAAACATGTTGGTTTTGGTGCTTGCATGTGGTTGCCAATGCTGTCAAGGCTTCAAGTGACGTAGCGAAAAGCCAGGTTTTGGCCCAGTCAAGATCATATGCACAAGCTGCAATCAACACTAGTTCGCAACAAAATGATTTGATCAAGAGTTGAACCTCTGGGTCTTGCCAAGAGAGGGCACCTTTAGGCTGTTCCAGATGCCCTTGACCACCCGCACTGATCGTGGCTTGGACCAGCTGCACTGCTCTGTGAAGAAGCGTTCGTGACGATACTAGTCTTTCTTGCTCACTGGGGCTAGGATTGGGGATGCCTAAGGGAAATTCTTTAGTGCGCACTGGTGTTAGTCCTGGTTGGATCAACTTAAGAAGGGAGAATTCGGCAGAGCTGGGGCTTGCGGCTGTATATCCTGCACATCCGGAGGACGCAATGCGCAAAATGCGCTCGTAGTGAAAATCATTCAAAATATCATGCTGCCCTGCAATGATTTTATCAATAGGCAAAGACATGCGAGAATTTTGAACCATGGCGGTGGACAAAGGGCATGTTGCTCCTGCACACATATACAAAAAAATCGTTTTTCCTGTCGGAGAGAGATGAAACATGGAATCTGCTGAAACAGTGGAAACAGTCCTGGGTATCTCTGGTAACGGCCTGGTGTCTACTGCATTGGCTGCAGGGAGCAGGGATGGGCTTGAATCACTTTTGGGAGGACTTGGAACATCCCATTGGCTCTGCCCCAAGGGAGCCGGGCATCCTCAATGCTGGGATGCTGTTGAATCGCAAACACAGTCTGACCTTTTTTCCATTCTGAGTCAACTCCGTTACCCAGGATGGTCTGGAAGGCTGGCCCTTGTTGGTGGCCAACCCTTTTCCTTTGCCTTTGGTCTTGCCTATGGATTTTCCGCGTCCTTTTGCCACGGATGATGGGGTTCCTTTCATTGAAGGCCTTGGCTGTAAAAGGGCATCGAGATCACCTCGGACGTCCGTAAGTTCGTGAATGGCATCATCCATGGTCCACCCCCGCAAATAAACCAGACCAGCGATCTTCGTCCACACCTGTTGATCTGCAAGCAAACATTCCTGCGTGGATGGATTGCGCAAATGAGAATCTGCTTCATACCTTTGGGTGGCTAGGTGAACAAACTTGGCCACGTAGGTCTTAAGGACATGAAGATGGGCACCTTTACAGACTGCAATGGCAAATGCTTGGAGCATCAAAACTTGGGTCAGCTGAGCAATCCCCATTTGACTGGGGAGATCACGGGATGGCACTTCGTCTAACAGGAGCTCGGTCATCTGAATGGATTCCAACTTGGCCAGTTTTTTGGGACAATTGGAGACATGCAACTCATGTTGTGATTGGCTAAGGCGC